GGGCCTAAAACGGAAACAGCAGGAGGTTCGTCAACTAGAACCAATCGCAACAACGCGGCTGAGTGAAGCGTGATCCCAGATCCAAGACATCCATCATCCTTGACTACAGACAGTACCGACCGAAAAGCTGACTCACGTAATCCATCGTATTATCGCTTGCCGGGAATACAACCCGCCCTTGCTGGATCCTCGGTGGCTTTTCGTGATGCATTTCTGTCACTTGTGATGGACAAATGAGAAGTCTGAACTGTCACAGTGCAATGGATTTTCCAGTACCCCAAGATACCTGACATTCAAGCAACGACGCCATGGCTCACTAGCCTCGCAAGCTCCCTACCGTCAGGGTACCAAAAGTGAGAAACGATATTACTACCACGGCACGACTTGCGTTTGAATGGCCCAGGCGAGTGGCCCGATGCCTGTTACTTGAAAGGATCTAGACTGTTTGTCGGTGATCCTTTTGCTTTTTGCAGACCGACTGTCACATGCCACGTGGGATTAATAGCTAACGCCTGATAAGTTAAACTACGACTACCACAGAGATGTGCAGGTTCATGCTGGCGGTATTGGATGGATCCGTCGATCATCCGCCGGCTACAACGCCCCATATCTTGAACGACGTACTCTGAATCTGGTCAGGTTAGAGTCTACTGTTCGACTCAACAACGATTTTTTTTTTCAGGCACAGAGAAATCACTCGGGGGGACAAGCCCGATTACACAAGACCCTGGCATCTTGTGGGGGATTCTCCGGAAGAAAACCCGCCGCCCGTTGATGTAGCAGCAGCTACCCACTGCGAGACCGGTAGTTAGATGAGACGAGTCCACTCAAAAGCATTCTGTGCCTGCAGGTGCGTGTTTTGACAGCGCTTGGTAATGCATCCCCGAAGCATTAACCAAATATGGCGGCGAGCAATAGTTAGCCGAGGCTGGAACGCACAACTACGCCGTGTTCATGCGAGTTGAGATGTGATATGATCAAGTTGTCAAGTTACTTGTCACGAATCATTCTTCGCCTATCAAACCATCAGCCCGTCTGATTCCAAAACAACGCACGGAAGGTTATCAAAAAGATCCCATTCATCTGGTTACGAACGATCATGTTTCAGAGGGCCGATAATAGGTTCAATAAACGGTGACACTCATCAACACTACAGCTGAGAAGAAGCAAAGAACACAGGATGAGCACTTTGGTCTTGACATTGGCCAACAATATGCCCCTCTGCCGTCAAGTTTATGGAACATGTTATCCGTATGTACATGTCTTACTCGCTTCATTTGTTAGTTTCTTGCGCATTGAAGGCCTGTGCTTCGTTCAGCCTTGAGATAACAGCATCGGCGGCCCACACGGAAACGGAAGCCACACTTCCCGTCTATACCTGGTGATGGCGCTCCGGTCGGCAAATGCCTGACAATACAACACGGCCACCGATCCATTCGGATCGGCCAGAAGCCGCTCATTTCTGGTTTATCTCTCTTTCTCAGCATTCATACTCCCGCGTTACTACAGACACTACTGCTTTTGACAGCGTCCTATGAGTATATGGTACAGATGGAGGTTGGACAGTGCATCTGGTTATGGAATCATATCGCATGCCAACGGCCTAACATTCATTGCCTTCATTGGCACCCAAAATCCCAATTATAGCTCTTGTCAATATAACTTTCTTAGGGCTGTCCCCAACAATTTGCCTTCGATACATCATATCATGTTAGATCAATCGCTTATAAGAGGTCCTCCCCAGGATAGTGGCTAGCTCAACCTTGATACCACAGCAGCATAATCGGAGACACACATCACTTTGGGAGCATGCACACTTCTTCTGGGGGTGTAGAGCTTGGCTTGGAAGAGAGAACAATTGAGACAACAAACAACCGTTTAGGGGCCGCGGAGTCGGAGCCGGCACTACATATGTGAACTGGAGCAGGGCTTTACCTAGTGTTCCGGCCGAGATGAATCGTGGCTTTATTCAAGATGCAGTCAGACGGCGTCTGCGTGTCCTTTACACGCAGGCGAGAGGGTGTGAGCCCAGGTCCCTTGCCTTCTCCCGATCTTGATTCAGCGGTGTAGTACTCTACACAAAGCAAGCGTCAGATATTCCACTAAATAGCCAACATGGGCACCCAATTACATTTGCCTACGCCCTATGGAGACGAAACTCTATCACGCAAGAAAAGAGGTGTGTAGATGTTAGGGAGAAACGACGTTTCTCAGCACGCCGGCAATCGTCACGAAAGTGGTTACTACCTGCGCGGCAACACTAATGTAAGCTGCAAGAAATGCCAGGTGGTATTGTACAAGGGCCCCGGCAGACATCAAACCTACTATGGATTGGCCATTGCCGACACATGATATCTTAGCATGGGTCAATGCAGCTCATGTCCTGCGTTGTCCATGCAGAATGGGAACTTGTAGGACGCGTTGGAAGCGATGGAAGCGATGTCAATTGCGTCAGGCCTCAAACCTTGAGGTACAGCTCTCAGAAACGCATTGCAAGCGAACAATTACTGCATGCAATGCAGTAAGAGCCGCTTTTTGCCACATCAACTGGCATATGCAGGGCTTGAGAGAACAAAAGAGAAAACACGACGTTGAGGCGTCGACCACTGCCATCACAAAAAGCCATCTTCAACCATACACTTTGGGTAGGAATTATGCAGGAAAAAGGCCCTGTCACGGGCCAGGGGTCATTCAACACCCTTCAGTTCTTGAGTCGTGGTACGGTGACGTTGCAGTGTCCTTTCTTATCCTATCAGAGGGTACTGATGGACAGCAAGCAGAGCTGCTTTGCATCTCAATCGCTGACAGCATTTCAGACCAATTGAGTTTCTCATACACCCAATGACGTTTGTACCCGTTCTACTTACGCAGCAATCGGTAAATATGATGGTTGCAGAGTGATATACGATGATTGTTTCGCCGCTTCGCAGTAACGCCTCCTTCACTAACACCAGATGTCTATATAGCACTTTCTTGGCCTTCAAGTTTCCACCTCTTTTGTTGGATTTCTTACTCTTCCCAGAAGCCTGGGAAAAGGTACTCAACCTTCTTCATGGCCTCGGGGTTACGGCCCGCAGGCTTGGTCATGAACTTAACGGCTCCTTGAGAAGAGCCAGCCAAATGCTTGGCCAGAACCAAATCGCTGTTCTCAAGCTCGGCGAGGCGATCCAGAACGCCGGCGACCAAGCGCTTGGCATTCTCGTTGTTGGCCTTCATGTACTTCAGGACCAACTCGACGTTGACATCCTCAAACGAGTGCCAGCAGTCGTAGTCAGTCGCCATTGCAATTACCTGGTAAGCCAGCTCGGCCTCGCGGGCAAGCTTAGCTTCGGGGAGTGTCGACATGTTGATGACCGAACCGCCCCACGATCGGTACATGTGCGACTCAGCACGAGTCGAAAACTGTGGTCCCTCTAGAGTGTGTGTCAGATCATATTCAGATCAAGATTTTTCAGAGTAGGTTCTTACCCATAACAACGACAGTGCCCTTATCGTGCAAGACGACACCATCGCCCTCCATGTGAGCTGCGCAAGCCTTGACAACGTTGGCAAGGCCTGCATCGAAAGGATCAGCGAACCCAACGTGTCCGACTACACCACCCTCGAAAAAGGTGAAAGGTCGGACGCCCTTTGTGCGATCGATGGCCTGGTCAGGGAGCACAAAGTCCATAGGCTTAATCTCCTCCTGCAACGAACCGACAGCGGAGAAAGCAATAATGGATCGAACTCCGATGTGTCGTAGAGCAGCAATGTTGGCACGGTTGGGAACCTCGTGAGGAGCAAATTGATGGTGAACGCCGTGTCGAGCAAGGAAAGCGACGTAACCGCCCTTGTGAGAGAGGATCTGGATGGGCGACGCGGGAGCACCCCAGGGTGTAATGGGGTTCAGAGAAGCGACAGGCTCGAAGCCCTCGAGTTGGCCGAGACCAGTACCGCCAATGACGGCGATATGGACAGGCTCTATAAGAGTAAAGAATCAGCATTGCGCCTGTGATGATTCGGCAGGGTCGGGATCGTCGTTTGGGTCTACATACTATCAAAGATAGTTGGGAGGTCAGCCATTCTGAACAATTGGAGCAACGATAGATTTCGCAGGGATTGAAGCTTGAAACGGTGATGATGGCAAGGTGGAAGTTGTCGTCGTCGCCCAAAAATATTTGTCGCGATAAGAACCTGAGAGTAATCACCTACTAACCCAACTACCCCGCCATACCATGGCCAAGATTACGTGCTTGGGCTATTTGATGGAGGGGTCGTGGACCCTTGGGAGCTATATTATTGGTTGAGCCATTTGAAGATTATTAGGTCTTTGGGGTTTTGGTGATGATGGCAAGAGTTTGCTGTCGATATTAGAGTAACTAGTTACCTAGAGGATTAGTTAGATCTTGTTTGAGCACAAGGCATCAGTGAATGGGATCAATAGAAAGGATGTATTGCTGGTGTCCGAAGGATTGATGTTCGCAGCGTGAGGTCTGGAATCTCGCCTTCTGGCCTTATTTTCATGGCTCTGTTAGCCGAATAAATGTTCAAATCTATCTTTGGAGTTGAATCTTAGCACCCTTGGCTATGAATGTTTTCAATATTCGACATGTTTTGTACTGAATAGTTTTGCTGGTTGTTTGAACACTGTTTAATTGCTATCTAGAATGGCGGGGTTGATTTTGAATTATGTCACCTGCAATATTTTTAATGTTTTTGACACTTGCACTAAATAGCAAATGGCGTTTATGAACGATCATTTCCAAATAAACTACTAAGGCATATGAATCATTTATCTTTGAAAAGACAGTCTCGTCATTCTTCTTTTTCCTATTTCTTTGCCTCTAGCTCTAAGCCTCAACCTAATTCTTTCCTTCCTCCTCATGCTGACCAAGCTGCGGGCGGCCAAAATTTTCCCGAGCTCCGCCAAAATTCAACCCACCACAACCTCAGCAGCCTAATAATTCATCACGATACATATCATATTCGCCGGGCGCTGCAGTTGTAACTCGGGTGGGAAAATGACGCGACTATCAGATAATGAAACTCTATTGATTGAGCCGCAAGAAGACGGTCAACACGATGAAACAATCGAGGAACGATGCTTCTCTGCGGCGCTCATCTGCCTTGAAGGGCACTTTACCCAGTCCCCTCCCATGGGACCGCACACAGCAGCCAAAGTGAGCTCTATGATCAACAAAACACTAGAAAAAACACATACATTCCGCAAGACTCGGTAGGCTGGTTTCTCATTCTTTCGTCGGGTCTCTTTACTGATGAGCATACAGCGAAGCCGTCTCAAGAAATGTGGCGATCTGGATCTGGCTCACAAGGATTTTTGCGGCTGCTATACCCAGTCTCACCACAAGATCCGTGGGACCCTTGTCAAGCCTCAACGATCCAGAGAAAGGCGTCACTCCACAAGAGAGCACAGCCTTAATCGTTATGAACCATGTGTCGATAAGGGAAGACCTCGAAACTCTCATCAAGCTGATGCACATCGCGCGCAACTTGCTTGTCAATGCGGAGCCTGAAGTGCCCCAAGATATCTGTGCTGCGGTTCACTTTGATCAAATGGTCTACCAAACAATCATCCTATGTGTCAATGTTACTAGCAAAGGCTATGACGGAGAGATTCTTGACGAGGCCCAGAGAATAAAATTGGGTGGCGTTACTGAACTATGTAAGTGTCCGACAAATATCAACGTCTGCAATACACCCTCACTAACATTTACTAGACAAAAAGCTACTTGTGACTTCGTTGCAACAGGCGCATAACTGGACAGCCAAACATGACAGGAACAAAATGTCGTTCTGGTTCGACGTTTTGTTTGACGACGATGGCGCGCTTTCATGTCGCGATGAGAATCCTGGCGATAATTTAGGTTTCCAACCAGAAGAGGCCAAAAGACAAGTCCAACACTGGTTGGATAGAAATTCCAAGCTTTGCGACACTGCCAGGAAACTTCTCAAGGATCATGCTCAGAACCACGCCGATAAACCACCCGGAAACCTTGCTCCCATCCGCCCATTGGCCTGGAACTGGCTCCCGGATGGCTCCGTCGACGTTCCTGGAGACGTGACCAATACTGACGAGAAGATCAACCCGGTGTGGAGGCCAGATGAGACGGATAAATTCGAGCAAGATCGTGCTTACGGTCGCGTCTCTAGAGAGATCGATACCTGGTGGCTGAATGCCCGCGACCCCAATTACGATGAATGGAATGTTCCCATGCCTTCCGTGGAGTTCGCGCAGACTCGTCTTGAGCATTGTCGTAACAACCTCATCCATCAATACGCTCACTCTTGCGGGACGGACCATTCACCACCTTCGGGCGTCGTTGAGGAAGAACAGCTATCAGACCACGAACATTGCCATCACTGCGAGCACGATGACCACGACCATGAGCATGAGCACACTCACGAATGCACTCATGACCACGAGCACGAGCACGAATGTACCCATGATCACGAACACGAGCACGAGCTCATTGGCCGTCACCATCACCACGAAGACGGCCTTGAATGCCAGTGCACATGTGATCACGTCCATGACCATGAACACGAACACGAACACGATCATCATCATCACCACCATCACCATCATGATCATGAGTATGGTCATGACTATGTGGAAGATATAATGGACGATGAAGACGTTGACGATGATGAATCTTACGGGGAAGGACCGTTGACAGGGCTACTTACTGAGGTGCCGAACATCCTAGACCCGAAGCAGATCGAGGCTTTGCACATGATCGTGAAGTCATGCATACTGGACAATGCTGGCTCCGGCTTGACTCGCGCGGGCGAGAACCTTCAAAAGACGCGCTGTCGTATGTTCCTAGCGCTCGACTGTGGAAAGAGTCTGCTACGAGAGATGCTGGTGTTCATTGCCGTCTGGGAAAAGGATGAGCAGTCACTGATATTCCAGGTGACAACCCAGATCGTGGAGGCTCTTCATCACAGCGCTTTGATTCCGTATGCATGGAACTCATTGCGTATAGCAAAGGACATCATTTCGCCAGCACAGACAGTTCTCCTGCGACTTGTTAACCACATGTTCAGAGCTCGAGTCAACAATTCATCTTCCCAGGAAAACAAGGATAACGCTCGCGATATCAAGCTTGTGCACTTCTTCTTGAGCTTCTTCCGAACCCGCATCGTCCCAGAGTGCGCTGCTTTGATGCACCTCCAAGCTCAGATCCGCGAAGAGAACTTTGACCCATCTGAGTTCCCTGTGGACAGCTGGGATATGGAACGTGCTAAAGACGGATTGGCCCAATACCTTGACTTCCTCACAACGGTTGCCGAGATGATGGACACTCGGGCGAAGCTTATCGAATGGGAGGCTGTCTACGACCTCATCACCATTCTGAGTGGATTGGAGGCTGGTGTGCCTAAGAAACCTCTAATTGAACTCCCGAAGCGATCGCCAAGAAGTGAAACCAACGGCAACCCTATGGTCGAGCGGCCCTATTCATCTGCTGACGATGGCCTTCCACCTTCGCCGCCACCTCCTCCTCTGCAAGAGCCAGCTCACAAGTTCCCCTGGTCCGGAATTAAGGGACAAATATTTACCATTATCGCTACTCTCCTACAGCCACCCCCTGGTCAGAGTAGCCCAGGTAACCCTGATGTCCAGATGCAGATGGTCAAGTACAACGGAATCGTGCCTCTCCTCAACTGCTGCGCTTACGATGATCACAACCCTTTTGCCAAGGAACGAGTGACAATCTGCCTCAAATGGTTGTTGGATGGATGTGAGGCTGCCAACACCTTCTTCCGGGAGCTTGTCAATCTTTCACCTCCACCCAACCTGCGCCCCCCACCCGGTGGTACGACTGTGTCAACCATCAGAGTCGATGGTATTCAAGGAGATGTCAAAGTGCAAGTCCGCTCAAGTACGGCAGGCCCAAGAGAGCAGGAAACCAGCGATATCGTGGATGGGGCAGGGAAAATCGATCTGAACCAACCAAGTGGACGAGGCAGCATCGAGGATGATTTTATGGCATAAAAGGCTGGGTGATGACTCAGGCGGTATCAAGACGGACATATTAAACATGAGGATTGGCATAGGAACATAAGGCGTCTTACGGACAAAAGGGAAAGGGCCTTGGTGGTCCTAAGCTTGTTTAATTTTTGAGAAGTTCTTCACAAAGGTGGAGAAAGGAGCCTGTGCTGGTGCTGACTTCTTGAAGGTTGCATTATCATGGAGTTTATTCGTTTGTGTTATATACACGGGTACGTAGACTTTGGTTTACCAATTCTTTTGCTTAAATTGTCGTTTATGTGACTAGGTGCCTATTTAAGATGCCGCCATTGATATTGGACATGTTATTCAGGAAGGGGGTGGTTGTGTTTATGCACAATATTGCCTTACCCTCTAATCAGCCCCCACGGTCATCTCGTTATGATTCGACCACCCTTTGATGCATTTCTCTCTAGTCTCATCACTATTGGTAGACTGTTTTCTTGCTGACCTCCCCAAGTGGCTCTTGAATAGTTCTTGGAGACCCGCATCGGCGGTTGTTAGCTGGCTGACTGTCTCCTTGTTGCTGTGGTCGCTGATACCTCTTCGGTAGACCCGACCTATATTCGCGGAGCCCCACGAGTTATTAGTGGAAACTTCGATCCCTTGGCAAAACGAGTCAGTCATGGCCAATGCTCGATACTCATGCCATAGGCTTTCCATGGTCATCGCTCCCATTCAATATCAGCACCGTAGCACAATATCAAGTGATACAAGCCTCTGTCCAACAGTAGCTTCAGCCTTCATTGCGTGGCAGAGTCTATTGTTAGATATGAGGCGATGATTTGGTTGTTGCTGCGGTAGCAGCAGAGTTTGTTGAACCGACGGGAAACGCATACTTCCAATCATTAAGACGAATAAATAAGCCACCCAGTCCCCCCCCCCTTTCTGACCTTCAAGGCCTCCTTTTCTTGTCGGTGTTACCCATCTTCGCTGTCGGAGCAACAATGCATGCTCATGTTTCGAGTATATTCCAACAGTTCTGAATCGAATCCTGGCTGGTTGATCGATAACTCAGAACATGATCGATCAGCGAAGAAAGGTGCAACTGCCGAAGAGGGAGCTCATGCCTGCGATCTGTGTATATTCGAGGATATTCTTGCTATGATATGAGAGGCCTTTATCATGTGGTTCCAAGCAGGCCTCCCTGTTGATCGGCTCGCAACTCGCCTATGAAACAACCAATGGATTCTTGCATGAAACTTGATCTGCGCCTTTGCCATATTAGGCGGTGACAGCTAACGGGCTGAGACCCATTTGGCTTGGCTATGCTTACTTTGTCTTGGTTGGTCCCTTGTCTCGATCGCGTAGGAAGACAGGGAGGTGTAAAGATCGAGACTTGTCAGCAAGGGTTGTTATTCGGAAACGCCGGTCAGTCACAAGATAAAATGCCAATTATAACAAAAACTTGTTGGAACAATTATATTTGTATATGATCTGATTCGGTTATCCACTTAATAACTGGATATTCGGCAGTTAATGTTTCACTGACGATCTCATGCCACGTTGATCTGCTACTTGATGCCCAACTGAGTCCTGCCAACTCCTTGTTCCTTGATGAGGATCAGATAATAAGAAATAAACAAAGTGTACCCCTAAAGCGCCTAACAAGATATGCCTGTGCCTGAAAGCAGAGTCTATAATGAAAAAACAAGATCTTTTCCGCGAACCATGCTACTGTAACATCCAAGCCCGAGCTTGAGTTTCAGCAAATAATCTAAAAATTCAAAACCTTCATGGCGCGTAAATCATCAAAATATGATAGTGAAGACCAAAATCGTAAACTAAACAACAACGCTAAACCATATGTTTTCATAAATGTGACCTTAACACCTCGAAGTGCTTCCAATGTGATGAGCTGTAACCGTTTTGAAGAAAGAAAATATGTCGATGTAGAGGGTATCGTAAAAAAGTCGTGAATGCCTTGAAGCAGTGATACCGGAATGAAATGAAGAAACCAAAGCCCGATGTCGAAACACGAAAGATGAGTAAAGATGAAGTTTGTGCATCGGTACTGTCAAATTTGAAAATGATGTTGTTTGGCGAGGGGCACCCTTGCAGCATCGTCGTAGAGACCAAAAAACGTGAGGCGTAGACTTCAAGTCGTCATATTGTTGTCATTATCGTCGTTGTCGTCGAATATCGCAGCTATTATGAATAGCTGTTATTTAATCCATCTCGCATAGAAAGCCAATGCAGTGACAGGTGCCACTGTTGTCGTCAGGGACTGGAATGATGGTCAGGAGATTGTTGAATGGCTGTCCGTATTTTTTGTAGTTGGTGACAGAAGTCTGAATCTCCATTCCAGCCATGAGGGCCTGACGCATGCGATGCGAGGCGACCTTGTCTGCGCCCTTCCTATCGGAGCGACGCTCTTGTCCAGGTGGTGCTTGTAGGAAGCGGCAGTTTCGGCCTACAGCTTCACGAGAAGAGTATCCGGTAAGATCAGTGAAAGAGTCCGAGACATAGATGACGGGAGCATCAGCTCTGGCCATATCGCAAACAACAAGGGCGACAGAGCAGTCAACAGGGCCCAGAACAACTTGGGGGTTTGGTCGTCCCATTATTCGGAACTGTTGATGGTTAATATTTGGCGGATAGGGTGAAAGAGGCAAGCCTACCAAGATGGACATGATGTCAATACCACTGGGAGCATAGAGGCCTGGGTAGATGACAGGGTCTTGAACTCGACGCCAAGTGCCCGCAGAGTTCATTGTGCCATCGACGTTTAAGGAGCCTTCTTGAGGAAACTCATACTACCCAAGTCAATAAATGTTTATTAAAAAAAAGGTGATATCTGACCAAAACTCACGTTAAGAGCATTGACCTCCCAAGGATTCATGGCGGGAATTGTCTTGGATGTCATGGTTGAACAATGAGGAGAGGGTGAGCGTGAGGATGAAAAGCTCAGGTGTAGTGGTGAATTATTAATGGTTCGCATTGAAGCTGTCATTTAAAGGTTGAGGGAAGAGACAAGTATGCAGATATATAGAGCTGGTTCCGTATGGCCTCGATGCGATAGGGCCAGGTAAACCAAAACGAGATCCAGTATGACGGAGTAAGCGGTTGGTAAGGTGTCAGTGGAAGCGGATAAGTTGGAGGATGTGACTCGGTATCGGATGGCAGGTTGATTGAGAGAGTATGTATTGGATGAGATGGGTATGCTGCATGTATGAACTGGCAGGTAAGCGAGGAAGAACTCGTGGAGACTCTTTTAGGCTGCGGCTGGTTGGATAGTTATCCCAGGTCAGATTTGCAGGCAGCCAGGATAGAGTTGTGAGGGTGGACGCTATGAAGACTTTCGAATGCAAATCGTGATGGACCCTGAAAAGCGAAGAACAAAGACAGGCGATGTTTGGGGGCGTGACAGAGAATTAAATGGTGTGAGTGTAGTATTCAGATGTTAGTGTTGGTTGTCATGATGCTGATGATGATGTCTGTCATTGGGGTTTTCAAGAGGCGCAGTTTCATTTTTATATGGTTTTAGGACAGGGACAAAATTGAGGCTTTGCTTAATGTTTCGCTTGGATGAACTGTGATTCATCCATTTGTTTGCTGGTGTCCCAAAGCCTGTGCTACAGCCTCATGTCTTTCTACTCTACTAACAGAGAATCGGTAGTGGTTGAACAGCCGCTCAAAAAGAGAGGGAAGGGGTTTGAATCATGAGACATGAGGCGTATCTGCAGTACAGACATCGATGTGGGTAGGGGGTCAGACATCAACGATTGGTCGAGGGTGCTCGATTCTCATGATCCCCGAAGAGTTGGAGAGATCGCTGGTGACCGGCTCCATACACGCGATCGGTACCCATCGGTGTGCTTCTCCACTTTAGACTTGGAATCGACTTGTTAGATTGGTGAAACAAGAAAGGTACGTCCTCTTATGATCGCCGGGTACTTTGGTCCGCCGCTCTAGATCGGTGCAATCAATGTGTATCTTTTGATCTTCTGAATCGGCTGTTCTTGTCGTTGTAAATCGGGGTTTTTTTTGCTTGCTTCCAGATGAATATCAATCGTATTTGTGTTTTCCTGAGCTTTTAGATAAAATTGAATTTGTAGTTCGTTCTTGGCGTTCAGATTCCATCAAATGGCTGATAATAGCTTTCGATCGATGTTATTGTTGCTGATGCGACGGTGAACCCCATCATGATCATATTCCATCGCGCGTCATTGATTCGGCGGCCTGCCACGCTCACAGATACAAGGTAATATCTAGACATATTCTAGGCCCTCTCGCTAAGAAATGAAAACGCATCACATAGTTGTCAAGTCTGAGTAGCGTGCGTACGGAACTTCGCTTTGCTTGATCGATACTATCGCCGATGCGCCATAGTAGGGACGAGAGAATTTGTTGGTGTTGAGGCGTGATAGCTGGCTAAGGCTTCGATGGGCGGAACCAAGTCTTGTTCACCTCGATCATGATGTATCGGGATTTGGGGAAATGGGGCTGACCGTTCCCGACAGTCCATTTGTCGTTGGTTAAAGGCACACAACGTCTAAGACAAGGATCTGGGTTCTGTTAGTCGGCATGTTCCTAGAGCAGATTTATCGGGAAGCGCATCGAGATATTGGATAGGTCATAACAGCGTTCCTGAGGGTCTAGACCCAGCATCGTCACTAGTGAAGTTTGTGGGCTATGAGCTGAGCTTAGCTGCCCTGCGTGATGATGCTTGCACACTTTTGCTGGTATTATGATTGATGGATTGAATCGAATTGATCTCGATACACCTGCGATGATCGTCAGTATTCTGTCAATTCAGATCCATTTGATGCAGCCCGGTATTTAGGGTATGTTTTTGACCATCTTGTAACTGGATCAGAACTCATCATGTAAGATCAAATATCAATGACGGCGTCGCTGCCAGGTTTCTGATATTAACAAGGGAGGGACCCTGATTATCATCGATTCTCAAGGACCGTCGAGATCGTCGGTTTTCAGTCTTGGACCCTGTTGCTGTTTTTAGGTCCTTCTTGGGAACTATCATCGAGATGGTTGTCAGCTTGATGTCTGTGACTGGTCCGCGATACGGTCATGGCTACTGTCTGCCAATAAGAATTGTCAACATTCAATTATAGACTCGGATATTGTTTCCCTGAGCGTGCAGGAAGTATTTCGAGAATATGAAGTCTCCATGAACCGATCCGCAATTTTGATTAGATACAAGCGAGTAGATTGATACGATGGGAATGTATCGTAGAGTTGTGAAGCACCTGCCTTAGTACTCAACCTGCCTAACATGGAAGCAGGAACTCGCTCGTGGACTTTGACGGCTGCTACAGGGTAAGTCAACCACAAAGAGACCCACTTCAGCGCGTCTATTTTCAATTTACGCGTCGCACCCAAATTGAATATCACGTCTGGCTTCAATATCGTGTCTACATAATTATCCAGTCTTCCTGGAGCCCATCATGTCGCGGAGACTACTAAACCGCCCAGGCGGCTCATTAGATCCATCGTCATCATCATTTACAGTCGTACTGCCAGATTACGAGCCACCAGTATGCCCTCTCACAGATAACGCCCGTCGCAATCTTAACGACCTATCCAACACACGCGTAAGCGCCGTATACCAACAGCAAGTCAGCGAATCTATTCGACTACTCGGATTCAGCGTTAGTGACATACATGAACGTTTGCGCACACAGCGCGAGAACCTCGAAAACCAGAAAGCCAAGAGAGAAGAAAGAGGCACGGATAAAACCGAAGACGAGCAACGCCTCGAAGCTCATCTCGCCAAATTCGAGGATCGTGTCAATGAATTAACCGAATCGTCTGAGAAGGCTGTTCGCGAACTTATAGACCGCAGAGCTGAACTCGAAGATGAAGCTGGTATTCTCAGCGAATTATACGACATTACCAGTGCTGAAGCGCACCAACAAAGACAACTCCAGGAAGAACAAGACGAAGGCGATGAACAGAAGGCATCTAGCGTCATTGAAACTTTCAAAGACCTGCGTGGCAAGAAGGAGGCAGAATACAAAAATATGTCTGCCCACCAGCGGTATGCACTCAACAACGACTACGCTGGTTTCAAGAAGCTCTGGCACGATGCCGCAGCCGGAGAAGAAGGACCACCTCTGCCAGACGCCTCACGCTGGTTCACCCAAGACGGCGAACCCGTAATGGACGCTGCTGCGGGTGCCGCGGACGACGACGATGATGATATTGCCGTTGCGCGCGAGATCATCAGCATCAACTGTCCTTTGACACTACAGCCCATGAAAGATCCATACACCAACCGAAATTGCAAGCACACATTTGAAAAGTCAGCCCTGCTTGAATATCTGCCCATGCGAGGAGAATCACAGTGTCCACAAGCAGGCTGCTCACAGGTCCGTGCGAACATTTCTTGCCATAAAATATTTGCTAACCTAAGATGCAGAGTTTCTCACGTGCGCGATTCGACCAAGACTTCTTCCATGATCAAGCCATGGAGCGTCGTATCAAGCGCGCCCGCCAGACACAGGCAGAACAAGAGATGGAGATGGATGATGAGGACGAGGACGCTGATGGTGATGACGACGAAGTTAGGATTAGTGGCCAGCAAGTCGCTCCCGGAAGAGCACTCAAGAGGGAACAATGATTGCTGTGTTGTCTGGAGTCAATGGATGAAAGCATCAAAGGATATATTCTCGTGGGATAGAGAGGCTGTACACTACGAAGAAATGATAGAATGATACCCCACCACAGCTGCTCCCGACACCTGGTGCGCTGATGGATATTGCAACAGGAAAGTACTTTGCGTCAGGTGTGATAAGAAAGGCGCGTCGCATGAAGGCCACTCGCCCAGAATACTAAGTGGAAGGGAGTTGTGTAAAATGATATAATCCGTTCTATGTAAATATATACGACATCGTAGGGTATCTAACGCAGTTCATTACATCCACCTCTGAGCTGATGAAACAGCTGATCTAATTCAAACAACAAATACACCATGTGATGCTTTTTCAAAAGAATCCAAACCTATATCCGAAACCATAGAGCATAACGCCTCAACTGTTTGTGACGGCCGCGTACTTTTTGTACCAAAAGGGTGTAGAATGAGTTGACATGTTTAAACAATATGAAGGACCATAATGCAGACTATGGCGACAACCAGGCCCGAGTTGGGTGAGTTCCATGCTGCAGCGGCATCAGGCGTTTCGGTTGCGGTATAGATGCCAGTCATATCTGATGTGGCGCTGGCACTCGTCGTAGATGTTGTTGGTTCCTCGGTGGTCTCTGCTTGTAGCGGCCAGTCATCTGTAGAGGCATACAATATGCCATTGATGACGACACCCTTGTCTTCTGCGGCCAGTTCTGCAGCACGATCGTCGCAAGTGGCCCGGAGATTGCGTATATAGCAAGTAGGATTTGGTTGACCAGGCAACTTGTCTGTATGCGTAGCGTTGGCATCGCCTGTGGTGTTATATGTGGCGGGGTCAATATCCTTGCCGGTAGAGATAGAAGTACCCAAGATGATGCGGGCAAAGACCTGAAAGGCTGTTTCAGGCTGGTAGGCGGCCACGGCGTGACCTGCTTGATAGATCCGGCTAAAGGAAAGGTTACCAAACTGACGCACAACACCACCAATATAGGACTCGTTGACAATAATAGGAGCATATCCTGCCTCAGGGAATCGAATGCTGTATTCACTGCCTGCTTCTTGAGCAAGGCTTTGAGAAACAGCCTCTCCTCCCATCCAATTACATATGTAGTCTCGATCACCGTAGATGAGAGCGATACGAACTCCCTGATTGAGAAGAGCAGCCAGGCGCTGTATGTTGCCGCCGCGGGCTTGATCGCCCGTATCTTGGAACTCGCGACCAACTTCGTAATTGCTGAGAGTATAGTTGATAGGGGCACCAATAGCTTGCTGCACACTTTCTTGGTTGAGGTATTCCAAAAAGGTCATTGGTGGGAAAGGGTCGGTTGAGGCTGCTGCAAGGTCATACACGCCGCGACCTGAACCTGTGTAGGCATCTTGAATGTCGTAACAGTTATTCAAAGCATCAGAACACGCTTCATTGATAGATTCTTCAGTTCCTTCTCCTTCGGGATCACCCACAGACGCATCAATCGCACATTTCTGGAGCAGGTCTCGGCAGCCACCCTCGGCAGTAAACTTGTCCTGGTAGAATTTTGCATCGCCAGCAGACAAAGCTTCATAACCATATGTGTTGTCGACAGCAAAGGTTGGATAGTAAGGTACTTGTGTCTCCATATCGACACACCCGTTAACGATACCCAAGGAGCTCAGGTGGACATCAATAGTTGAATTTTGTGGTAGCTCACCACTTTGGCGACGGGCGTTTTGCTTGACGAATGTTTCCGCAAATACAGGGCCATAGCGGCCACCATAACTTTCGGCAAAGAGACTGATTCCTAGTGAACTGTTATGGGAAAAGGTGGATGGCTGATATTGAGGAAAGGTGGTCAAGAAGCCCTGAACCATGTGCCAAACGGCCATGGCAGCAGTCTCGGTAGTATTGGCAGTGAAATTCCCATTGTTGGAGCTGAATGTACCATTACGAAGTACCCAATCAGGATAGTCGGCATTGACTTCAGGAGGCACTTCGACCTTGTTACTGGCAAAGTTGATTGTGCCATTACTGGGTGTGTCATATGAAAAGCCGACTTGGTTGGGCTAAAAAGGTACACGTGAGTTTGTAAACTTGTGATACTTGCCGAAGGAAACATACCTGATCAATGAACAGCATGTTAGAAGCTCGGTCCCAACCCCATTCGCGTACAAGCGTCTCGTATTCATTCAAACCCTTTTCGACAATCTCACAAGGGCCATTGCCTGTGAAGAAACCATATAGTGAACTGGATCCTGGCCCTCCATTGAGCCAGATGGTCAGGCTGTCAGTAGGCTCACGAGCCTCGACAAACCAAAAGAATAAATTGGTTGGATAGTCGCCAGGAACTGATACCCAGCCTGTGTACTGCTTCTGGGAATCAAATGCTGTTAAACACACGTCCTCGGGAGTTTTATAAGAGACAGTGACGTCCCGATTTGCAGGTGAGTGGACGACTGTTAAATTACGCGCCTTAGCATCGGAGCCAGGGAGAAACTGTGAGGAAGATGAAGAAATCAAGGTGAAAAGGAGAAGAAATCGTATATATATAAGTGAAAGGAGGTGAGGAGCCGCCATGTTGGCGGGCGATTCGAGGTGAGGTTGCCAACGATGCAACGAGTCTCTCAAGAGTGGTGAGAGGGTATCGGAATAGTAGTCGTCGTCATCCAGCAAATAAGCAAATTCATCGCAAGACAACAACGAGCTACAGACAAGGAATTCCTGAGACGAGACAAATACAGTTGCTACCGAGACGAAAACAATTGAACGACTACGATATAAGCGATTGTATACCAAGAAAAAGAAAAGAAAGAAAGAAAAGAACCTTGTATGCAGTTTCAACGAACGACGACACGCATCATGAGATGGTACCTGTAAATTATGTAGCTAGAAGAAAGAGGAAATGTCCGATCAAGCCCAGAAGAGTGAAGTTTCGGGTCCAAGTGGGCCAAGCGAACCGTTACAGTCACCGGCCCCTCCTGGTTCCTGCCCCAGGGCTGATCCTTAGAGTGTTTTGGCCTGTCAGAGCCCTGGCAGTTGGCGGAGTCTGCACTAAAAAGCATTCAGCCCCAGGTAGGCGTTCATGTGCTAGATTTTAGATGTCACTTATAATTTGGATTTGATATTGACGAGATGAAGTGAATGTAATGGCTACTGGTTCATTAAAACACAGCCATTGTTATATGAAAACACACGGCCGGTTTTTCTTTCTTTCCTTGTAGTACTATTTCTCTTTGTGATTGTGTGAAACATGAATCTCAATGATCAGTCGCAGGACCAACACCCATGCCGGTAAGCAGAAGCTAAATCCTCAGCTTGCATAGCCACGGCAACGTTAGATCCCATGACTGGCTGATCTCTATACTGTCAGAATTAGTTACTGAAAATTAGCAGATTAAAATGATGATTCCGTCAGCCACACAATGCTCTAAATTTGAGCAGCTTTCCAAAATGGGTAAGCTGAGCGACAACGTGTTGGGTTCTCGGAATAATAGTCGTCTTACAGAGCATCAGGGATCGTGTACCTATGACGTTTTGTGTTTCAATCACAGATCCATGCTATGTTATCTCTTCACAATCTAGATGATCACAACGGTGTGGTCCTACACCAAAACCGTATCAACACAGGCACATTTGAGGTATTGATATCGTCATCCCTTGCACATATACCATAACATTACACTAGAATACAATAGATTGTACAATTGCCATTATTTCCTTTGACTTTTCGAGAACCGTACACCAACATAAATCATACACATTCACACCAAAGTCTATCATGGCTCAGATCGACGCACAGCGAAAAAGTAGTTGCCCACCTTCTCACTTCCATTGACCTGTTTCCATCCAAATCCAGGGACATATATCACACCCTGAACCATTGGATGACTCCAACCTCGACCTGCAAGGAAGGCTCTTAGCTCCTCCTCATTGAGATATTTGTTCCAGTCGTGGGTTCCCTTGGGAACGATACCCAGAACATCCTCAGCCATGAAGTTGGTGGTGAACCAGCTCATCCAGGTGCGGGCAATCGTGCTCATGACAAGCCATCCTCCAGGCTTGACAAATGGGCGCACCTTGTCCAAGAAGGCGCCTGGAGCATCGATGTGCTCAATAACCTCGAATAGCGAGACGATATCATAGGCATCTTGTGGTGTCGCGGGTAGAGGTAGGTTCTCTATGGACGTCTGGCGGTACTCAAGCTTCGAGCGAAGACCGGGATCTTTGCGGGCATGCGCGCGTGCTATAGCAAGGACTTCCGGGGTCGGATCGATAGCAGTGACATGTCGTGTAGTCGGTAGACGGGCAGCGCTTTCAGCAAAGATTCCACCACCACAGCCAATGTCAAGGATTTTCAGGTCGCGAGTGGGAGCATCGGGGTCGTTGCGTTGACATTCGCGGATGAAATCATGGCGTAGAGGATTCATGAGATGAAGTAGTCGAGAGGAGCCATGAGGATCCCACCAGTCGGCGGCGAGAGCATTGAAGTGTGAGACCTCATCGGGGTTGACTGAGGAGAAGTTTTGCGACGAGCTGCTGGATGAGGATGTAGAGTGCCATCGAGGAGTAGGTGGCGTCGTGGTTCTAGCTGCGACGATGCGGTTTGCCGGCAATGAGATGGCCAATGATCGTCGACTTGATCGGGCGAGGTTGCGGAAGAGGGCACCCGCCGACCGGGACGGAGCCGCCATTGCTAGGAGCTTGGAGGAGAGATAAAGGTAGTCAAAGAGGTTGAATGGGTAAAGTGTGGATGGTGTGACAGTCAATGTTAGGCTGACAAAGCCACGGGCCAAGAAAAGATAAGATGCACTCGATGGACCCTGAAGATACCCAGATTCGAATTTAGAGGACACAATCGGACAGCTCCGCCATTGGTTCCACTACACTGTTGCTATTCTAGAATTTCTTCCGTCTCGTAGATTCTTTCGCTGACTGATGCTTCACAATTTCTTAGTACAAATATGGCCTTACAAAGCTTACATAATAGTCTTTCCACTTCTGACCAATCTTGATGAAGTGACTGCAGCCGATTTGTCCGAACAAGTAAAGACCCTTCTCGCATGGCCAACATCCCGTTGACATGTGAGCTCATCACAACGCCGATACAACGCGGTAAGAGAGTCAATAATTCCGAGGGTAAACTTGATCGGGAGTTGGATTTCACTCAGGGTTCAACTGACTTAGACCGGATAAGCCGGCCATAAGTTATCAGAGCCCGAGCGGGAAATTCACCGCGCGGTTATGATAAAGACCGGTTATCTACTCTGTAGATGGAGGGGCTTTTTCTTAGAAAAAGGGTTGAATCATGCGATACGAGAAACAATACTTGATCCAAATTCTTTGATAGTAGATATATGAAGGGCATTATCGTTCTTAATAATTTATTATTAATATCCAACTGCTTCTGCTTGCTAAATAATCACCGAATTGGCTTCCGTCAGTTGATCGATTCTCCAATAAAAAAAAGTTCCCCTCCTTCTTCAATTCCATCCCCCGCTGACGCTGCCGCTTCCGTCTCCGCCTCCGAACCCGCTCTCCTCGTGCGTCCCGTTCGCGACCGTCGCATTCGCAATTATTACAAGCCGAGGTCGAACAGCCAAGTCTTCTTCAACTTTAATCACTATTCTTGCTTCCAGGCTTTTGCGCTGCTCAATTGCTCCTCCACCACTTGTCATCCCACCTTCAAGATGCCTGCAACCATCCCACAAAACAAGTTTGACTCAATCCCCGACTCGATTGAGGCTTTCCGTAAGTGATTGATCTTGACTCCCGTAAATGTGTTGACAGCACTGATACGTCTTGCAACAGGAAATGGAGAGTTCCTCGTCGTTCTCGACGACCCCTCGCGCGAGAACGAAGCCGATCTGATCATCGCTGCTGAAGATATGACAACCGAGAAGATGGGCTTCCTCATCCGCCACTCTTCCGGCTACGTCTGCGCTCCTCTCTCTCCCGAACTCACCAAATCTCTCGATCTTCCTCAGATGGTCCCCAACAACCAGGATCCCCGAGGCACTGCCTACACTATCTCTGTCGACTCGGCCGATCCTTCTGTCACCACAGGAATCAGCGCTCGCGATCGTGCTCTCGCATGCCGAACCCTCGCCGACCCCAAAGCCCGCCCCGATAGCTTCCGTCGTCCCGGTCACGTCCTTCCTCTGCGATCTCGCCCTGGTGGCGTTCGACAGCGCCCAGGTCACACCGAGGCTGCCACTGAGTTCTGTCGCTTGGCCGGCAAGGCCCAGGCCGCGGCTATCTGCGAGATTATTGATGACGGCGAGGAGACCCCAGGCCAAGCTCTTGTTCAGAACCATGGCATGCTGCGAGGAGAGGACTGCATTACTTTCGCCCGCAAGTGGGGCTTGAAGGTCTGCACTATTGCTGACCTGGTGGCTTACGTTGAGAAGACTGAGGGAAAGCTCGAGTCCAATGGTGCTGAGGCTGATGGCAACTAAGCCGAATTTTGCATACGATTTCTATGTAAATTTGATTGGATATATGATGGTTAGGCAAGTGACAGGCTGTTCTACTTGTTTCATGTACACATGTACATGGTGGCTGATGGTTGACGAAGCGCAATGGTGGTTGCTTCATGTATTTCTTGCATATGTTTCTGGATTCCTAGGGTTATTTGGTATAGACTGGGTTTCATATGGCGTCCCGAAAAGTGTCGGTTGAAAAGAGAACGAAAAAAGATATCAAATATTGTACTCTTCTATCATGGAATGTAGTTTATGTGTACAGGCTGGCGATTCTTGATTTAGCTATGCAGATCTCACAATGTAAGTGTGACCAAACCCTTGTAATATGTGAGATCACTCGTGGATCTGGTCTAAAGTCAGACGCTTCTTTGTGACTTTACTTACATCCAACTTGATGACAGCTTACGTGAAGTACAGGCAAGCAGTCTCGGAAAGTCACGTTTCTGTATGGTCAATCATGCAACCAATGCTGTGAGGCAGCAAAAGGTTCATGGTTACATCCAGACCTCAGGGTATCAGAAAATTGACCGCTGGACGCCTAAGAGACGAAATTAGTAGGTCAGCTTATGCTACTTAGACAAGACTTCTAGGTTGTTTATTTTTGTATTCTAAGACACCAGCGATCTGAGAATCTGGTTCTCTCTGGCCGTAAGCACTGTCAAATATAGCATATGTCAAGTGTTTTGTATCCAGACGAAACCTCACTCTTAACTTCCCCACATACAATGATGTCTGGTCATAGTACATATGAAGGCGGCCAACCGTATTCTGACAATTGTGGGGATATAATTCAATACAATATATGGCTTGCGAGTAACCACCAGGTTTGACACTGGGCACAAGAATGCAGTCATCTAACCCAAATATACAAGAAGGCAATGCGCGCATCTACTTCCTTAGACGAGCCGACCTCCTTCGTCCTAGATCTGGCTGGTCTTCCTCTGCATCGGCCTCTTTCTTTATGGCGTCCCCATTGGCCTCCTTCTTGACAGCCTTCGCACGCTTCTTCTTTGGGGGTGAACCGTCTTCTTCTTTCACAACTGGTGACTTCTTTCTTGACTTTTTGGGGGGCTTTGCTTCGGCCTTACTTTCGAGGGGTTCTTCTTTGACTCCGGAAGCTGTATGGCCAGTCTTCTTCTGTATACCTGGAGCATAACAGCTCGTTCGCCCGCCAACTGTGATGAAAGCTAATTTGTCTCCGTTGGGCAGCTTAGTGGCAGCATCTTTGGATCCTTTACCCCATCTGTAATTAAAGAGCCAATGGTCCGGGAACTCGTCGGAGTCTCCTAGCTTGTCGACAGCTGTTTGGCAGACGTAACGTATCATCTTAAACAGAGTGCTGATTTGCTCATCGTTGAACTGATCGCAGTACTGTTCAGGGTGGAGTTTGGCTTGGTACAGTGTCTCGTCTGCAACCCAGTTCCCGATACCACTGATCATTGTTTGATCCAGCAAAAGGGCTTTGATAGGGACGTGACGGGCTCTCATTTTGGTGTGCAAATATTCCTCGGTGAACCGATCAACGTCAACCACTGGATCTGGACCATTCTCGACAAGGGGTGAGTGCTGTCGTATCTCATCTCCTGGGCAGTCGATGAGTCGCACACGACCAAACCTGCGCGAATCTGTGAAAGCAGCTTCAACTCCAGGAGAACCCTCGGTCTTGAACTGAAACTTCCAGAACCTTGGTGGCCATTGCTCATGCTCGCCCTCCTTCATCTTCTTGTAATAGTTGGTGTATGCTGTCTGTTCATCCTTGATATGCATCCAACCTGGCTTGATTAGTAAATGATCGATGATTCCGTAGCTTGATCCCATTACCTGTCATTCCAAAATGCATTACTAGATGCGGAGGCTTTTCGAGGGTTATCCTATTTTTGGCTATAAGTCGAGTTCCATGTCCATAGGGTAGCTACTGAAGTCTTACCAGAAGTATTTACCCTGACTTCCAACAGATATAATCTAATATGGATCAATACTTTGCAAAATACCGATAGGAGTATATGTTTTACCTTCTTTCCCTTCAGGGCAGCTTCAACCTCCTCGCCACTTGTCCCAACTTTACCAAACACATTCTTGTCATCTATTGCTGAAGCGGATATGATGCGTTTCCCCACAACGTGAAGTCGTAAGAAGTGGACAATGCGTGCAACTGTTTGAATCTTAGCAAGAGACATGTTATTCACAAATGTTAAGTCACGAACAGACCTTCTGCAATTTCAGGCATTTTGGCACACGTTCAAAGATCGATATATGGTAGCGAATGCAGTAAAGGAGAATACATTGCGTCAGAGACTCTCGGCTGGCCTGGAAGCCTGGCGCGTCCTTGGGGCGTCTGTTACAGACGCGATATCACGTGATGTTAAGTGATCTGAAGGGAAGCAAAGTGTAAAGTTAAGACCAGCCTCTCGCTATCCTAATTCACCATGGTTACCGGCCTGTACGTAAGACGATCTCGATAACTCCACCATAAACCTTGCGATTCATGACGGACAATTTCATTTTCAGGTGAAAAGATCCATATTTGACTGAGTTTTCTCGAGGTGGACCGTCGTTGCTCGTCGCCGAACATCTTTCTGCTCCGGAACCAAAGCCCGGCAGCGGAAGAATGAGTACCCGCACACCCCACATAGAAACTTTCGTCCGAGCTTTTCCTCTACAAAAACTTTTACTTCTCCAAGTTCTTTTCTATCTTTACCAACAACATAAAAACAATCAACAATCAAAAGCAGAGGTACGTTTTGTAAACGCAGCATTTTGTGCTGCTATGCCCTTTCTTCCTGATGACACACCGAAACCGCAAACTAGAGTCTTTGACCTAAATGGAATGAAACCTCTTTTTCGCACGTCAGTCTGAAAGACTACGATCACGCACTGTTTCCAGTATTTTGCAAGTTGAACACGCGCTGACCATTCAATCAATAGCTCTCTCATCACCAAGCGGTGGATCATTGCGACGATGCTCAAGCTTTTCCCCTCACTCAGCATGGGTTGAAATGGTACGTTCACAGTCGTCGCGCTTGCGACCTGCTCTCCCCGTCTCACATGATGATCAATTTCTTTTACAATATACGCTGGAAATTACCGGCTGAGTTATTCTTTGACGATATAAAATGGCTATTTCTGATCGAGACTCATTCTTCACTATTGTTGTTCTTCATAAAGTAGCTCGCGCTAACAACAACGAAAGATTTTAGTCACCAGCAAGGTATGCGATTTCACACACCTCGACCTCGCTCTCGACCTTTCCTGATGAAACGGCACTGGGCTCCGAATCATATCCCATGAGTACGAAAAGCCACTTTGCGGCAGGCCTAGAAAACCTCGCCCACTGACTTGTCACGCTCTACCTTCATTATGCTGGATGTCGTTGAGCCACTGGGGCTAACCTACCTCGAGTGCCAGTGTTCTATCACTTTAACCTGTGTTCCCAACCATGCCCGGATTCGTTTCCAAATTGTACGTATTGAGTTGTATTTCTTTTACCAACACCACCTCGCTTTCCTGATGAACATCAGATGACGAGTCTTATCCGAGTTTTCGATGCAGACACCATATTTACTACCATTCATGCATTTCCTGAATCGCGAATATCATGCACATTCTTTATTTGCAAGCCTTTGATAGCTTGTGCTAACCATTTATCAGGTAGATCAAACGTGAGTAGCCAACTGGCCCCAGCATTTGCATTCCACATCATCTCTATGATGATCCAAAATGAAAACGACAAGCATATGTCCGAGCTCACGCTACGACGATAACTCATTTATCGACTGATCGAGATGCTTCACGTCACGTCAATGCAGTCTTTTCAACGACAGCGGCTGACATTTCGAAAGCATACTCAGCCATACTCCCACTTTTAATCCAAACAACAGGATCTTTGGCAACAAGGTTAGTAACTTCATTATCCTCTCATCTCTTCCATCTTATATGATGTTACAATATCACGACGGTCAACGTAGCCATATGCTTTGACGATAACGCCTGTGACAAGGCACTTTACCCTGAAATCCCTCCCTCCTCCATTTTTCTTCTTTGCCAATGACGTAAAGAAAAGGTCACTAACATGACTTCAAAGGTTTTCCCCAACCACTTGCCATAGTATTGGGATCGGTCGTATGTATGCGGTTTAGCAACGCGGCTGCGATTTCAACAATCTTGTCAAGTGACAAGGTAGCATGCCCTGTCAAGTCAACCCTTCGGTTGATTTGAAGGCATCCATCCTGGGTCTGCATCCCAACAATGATAATCTTGCAGATACCAGAAAGGTAAGTGATAACAATATCGAATAATATTCCATATAAAATAATATAACGTATTTCTACTCTGTACATGAGACCGTCGAGTTGACACTTGATCGTTTGCCTGAGACCCTTTTTGAAAATTGTGAAACGAGTGTGATCTAGTAAAACATAATCTTGAACCAAGTCCTGTCCCATTCTAAGAGATTGATAGATGGTAGACGTTTGCGTCCCTGCTGTTGGTCACCTACATACTCAGCCTCGAGCCATGTTCTGATAGTTGGCCATATGGTTGATCATACTGTCTGTTCCTCTATGACTTCTTTCGATTGAAATGTCGGGAGCTCGCAACCCTGTCCGAAACTCTGCGTCCCGAGGATACAGCGTTGTCTCAGGCACATACCGCGGTACCGTGTCTTGCAAAGATGTTGGACAATACCCCTGTGGAGGGCTTGCGCGGTACGAGGGTCGCGCTCCTCGATGAGCAGGCCAGCCTGCAGAATCGGGATAAGCCTGGACAGGTACAGTTCTGCGGGCTCCCGTTAACGCAATGATTTGGAGGACTTGGAAGGGGAAGACACTCACGGCGGCAACATTCCATCAGCAACGCTCGAGTTGCGGAACGAGTTAGTTACCAAGCTCTCATAAAGCGGCTCCCGGCCATTGCTCTCAATTTTGATCTGCGGATCGTCCTGAGCTTGAACATGGTCATAGAAGTAGGCCGTGTACGCTTGAGGCTGCTTCAGAACAGGCAATGACTTCTGTTCAGAGGAGCGTCGGCTCATCGAGCTGGAGGATGATGCTGGCGAGCTGCGTTCTCCCTCTCCTGGCACGTCTGATGGAGAGTGTGGTGGGGAGAGTGGGAGGTTTTTGCTGAGGGGTTGACGACGACGCCTGTCACGCTTCTTGCAGTTATACTTGCCAATTTGCCATTTGTCAAAGTGTTGTCGATAAGATCGAATTCTGTATTAATAGTTAGCAGAGAAATAACATATTCGACGTGGGACCTTACGATGCATGAAAGTTGTATTGATCCCTCATGATGTTGCGTGTGTCCTCGAGTGTCCTCCCTTCGTCGATATACAACTTGGTGATAACCTCACGGTGCTCGTTCCAGGGTTTTGCCATCATCTTGAATAGCTTTTTCAGTGTTTAATCTGGACTTGGGAGTGTTGGATAGATACTGTTGCGGTGATGATGCCTCTTGCTCTTAGCCCGGGACAATCAGGGTTTCAGCAACAGCGAATATCTCAACGATCATTGAGGTAAATCAACAAAACAAAGATTAGCCTCTTTGTTCTGAGTAGATGTTTTCAGAATTAGCGTGTGCTTTTTGTATGTAAGTTCCCAATCCCAATCGTATTGAGATATTGAGATATTGGGATTAAAGCTGGAGGTTATGGTTATGATAGAAGTACTGTAAACCTTCCCAAGAAAAACGAAAAGCACAAACTATACCATAAAGAAGAGCTGAAAAAGTCTATCACATATGAGGGGAGCCAATGACTCTACCACTCTTGACACATTCTTGTCGCTGACCGGAGCCTCGTTTGGTACTTAGATGCGGTCACTTTTTCGCAGAGCCTCGTTTTTTGACTGTGGTGTTAGAGAGGCGTAGAGGCAATCGCAGCAAGGCATACAATAAGTTTTATAGAGAGAGACTACATATGATGTTTCTCTCTGCGTTGGCAGGTTCAAAATAGGGCGAACTTGTGCAAGATACCTCGACTTTTCAGTCCAGGTCTGTTCCTGTCCATAGGAAATAAGTAAGTAACATTTGCATTCATAGACACACCGAGATTTCATTGTGACACATTATTCTGGAAGGATGCGACCTTGAATTCGCCCGGCGTGGTAGGCAGGATATGTTTGGGTGGGTGTAGTGTCTAAGGCAGTTTATATTCAGCCTCATGTGTCTCGCCCAGGTCATCACATCGCATCCATCACATCATATCACTCCGTCAAGACCACTATACTAGAATGCAAGTATATCATTACTACAATAGTGAACAAATACATATATGCACAGTAAAATCATGCTGTTTATATCCCTGAACAGACAAGTCATCAGCACTTCTCAAAACCGCAACTCCCATTCCCTTTACCCCAGAGCCTGATAGACAACCCCTGCATCTGATCGATCGCCTTGGCTAACCACACCAAAACGTGCCTATTTTCACACATTGCACTCGCCCTGTTTTACTTGAAGAACCAACCAGATCTAAAGCTCCCTTACTGTGCTAGGCATAATGTGCGATTTCCGATATTCGAAACGGTTGCCATCCCAGGACATTGGCTATGTCAGCCTGGTTGAAACGAGTCGAGAAGTCTTCGATACGTCGTCATGTTCGCCTCACTTTTGATTCTGCACTTTATATAGTTTTGTTGATCGAGCATTATCGAGTAGTTTTGCACATCCACTTGTTCATTTCAGACTGTTGATGGAATTCCCTCGCAGTTCATTGTTGCGCAATATCGTGGAGACTGTCCCTGTAAGCCACATTCGTTGTCTACTACCCATAGAAGGCAATGGAGTACTCAGCTCTATTGATGACAAGGCAAAAATGCCCTCATCCCTGTACACAACACACTACGATATGCTGTCTTGTGGTTTGATAATGTCGCACTTGTATCTTGATATAGAAGAGGTATCATCTTCAGTTCCAGCAGACATGTGATGGCCTTCCTGTCGAGTGTCAAAAGTCTCGATACATTGACTGCCGTGGGCGATTACTTGTACGTCGAAGAACAACACCCCAAGATAACATGTATTTTTTTTTATACCACAGATACTGTATCTTCACGATAGAGATTCAACAGTTGTACATGCATGTACGGATAAAATGTATAATTTATTGTAGGTAACTTATGTAGGTCAACCTTGTAACAATGCAGCCATCGTAAACACATCCACATTAACCTGTTCTCTTCCACTCAAGTAAAGATAAGCATCGTGACCAATGCAACAGCATATACGCCTGAAAATCAAGGCGAAAGACCACATGCTATCGTTTTCATCCAACTCTTTCTCAAACCACCCAAAGCCACATTGATAGCACCGCTACCAAAGTGTTAAAGGTTGCTATCGCAAGCCTTACTTTGAGTGATAACCAAATTAAAGACAAGAAAAGACACTTGTTGCCTGTGTGTGCAGGACTGGGTATAGAAAACTCCGTCCATTCAAAACAGTTTCGCCAGCATACACACGGAATGGCTGTCACTCTTCGACAGCCTCATTTCGGTCGTCTAGGCAGCGGTCTCTTTTTTCTCAGCTGGCGCAACGGGTGCTGCTACGGGTGCTGCTGCAGGAGCCTCTCCACCTACAACGCCGGCCTCTTGACCACCTTGCTCATTGACAGGGCTAATGGGAGACTGAACCTTGGAGTCGAGAGGGTCGGCGGTGACCTGAGGGTTGGGAGATGTGGGCGCAGAACCGGCAGGGCTGGACCCAGTGCTAAGGGGAGCCGTGGCCTTGCCGCACTCTGAGAGAACCTGGAACCACTTCTGGGCGTCAGCAGCTGTGTGCGCCTTGAAGTTGAGCTCAGTAGAGCCCGTAAGCTTGCTGCTCATGGTCTTGGACTTGTCCTTGCCCTTGACACTGAACTTCTCACCCTGAACGGTTCCGATGACGGCATCGCCAAGGTAAATGGAGAGCTCAGGCTTGGGGTCCACTCGGTTGTTATCCGAGTCCTTGAACTCATGAAGGTACTTGGAGGGCGTGACCACGTAGTAGCCAGTTGAGTATCCCCAAGACAGCTTGTTACGCGACTTGCGCTCCAGAGAACCCTCAATCAGAGCCCTGGTTGCGGGGTGGTTCATGTTGGGGAACTGGATGGCGTCGACAGAACGCGCTGGCTCGTTGGGGTCAACGAGACGGTCACCGCTGCGAGCGTTGAAAGCGTTCCATTCAAAGTCAGGAGCGACGCGTTGGATGACCGAAAGCTGGTCGTTGTACAGGGCTCGTGTCTTGTCGGCCTGACCACCGGCAAGCTGGGTGAAAGCCTCCATAGCTTGCTGAATAACCTCGATGATGTGAGCCTCAAAGGCGTGGAAGTTGTTCTGAACAGCGATCAGGTCATTTCGGTGGTTATTCTCAGCAATGACCTGACTGTTGAGACGGTGCAGGACACCACGGTACACAACGTAAGGGTCATCGTGACTGTTAAGATGGCCACCAGCCGAGTCGAAAGAGGCAGAGTGTTGGCCGAGCAGCTCGATCTGCTTCTGGGTGGTGTTGCGGGCCTTCTCGACCTCCTTGGCTCCCTTTTCAGCGCCATGGGCGAGTTCCTTGGCCTTGTGCTTGATTTCCTTATGCAGGCGCTCGAGGACGGGGAGGACGGAGCCCTTGATGCTCTTTTCGGTCTCGATGTTGGTGTTGATAAGGGATTGGGTGTTGGAGCGCATATTCTCAAAGAAGCCAGCCATGCCGCCGAGGCTTTGGTCGAAGTGGTGACCCTCCTTCAGGGGGCTATTGATAGCCTGTTGAACATTGTTAGTATATGTCGCACTGGCGCAAAGTGATGCTATCGTCGGGATCATCGTACCTTGAGCGCCTTCTCGTACTCCTTGGCGTGGTGGCCGTGGATTCTCTCCATAGCCTTCATGTATTCCTCGATATAACCAACAGCATGCTTCCATGCCTGGAGTCGCTCGGCGAGCAAGCCGGCGGTCTATTCACAGAATTGTCAGTCCATGTCTTTTGCAAAAGTAGCCGCCTTGACGAAAGCGCATCGCGCGCAGGGAGGTGTCGCGCTGGAGTGACATACGCTTGAAGGATCAACTTCAGGGATAGCATCGTCGCTTGCGGTGCTGAAACCAGTAGTAGCCCTTGAGGGAAGGTTGGATGTTGTAGGTGAGGCCATGGCGATATTATCTGTCGGTGTTGGTGTTGCGTTTGTAAAGGGGTGGTGAGTGATAATGATAGACAGTCAGGATTGTAACGTAGTTAATAGCTTTGAGATTAGATTTAAGCTGTCCAAGCTTGGCAGACAGGGTCAGGGAGGTGCGAAGAGGGGTATCACGGTTCGGTTCAGGTGTTCAAGGGTTCTGAAGCTTCTTTCCTGCAGGGGTTGTTCAGTGGGTTTATATAAGTTGATGAGAACAGGATTGAACAAGTATTTGTATTAGTAGCTTGTGACCTGTTGAGGCATGTAATTGATTTAATAGCTCAACTAAGTTAGTGTTGACGTCGTAGATAGAGGATCGCCAGGAGAGAGCCTAAATGACGTCGATCCTTTTATTTTGTGAGGGGTTGTTGAGACACCAAAGACCTGAAAGTCCCGGCGCTAGGCCTGCCTACATTTACTCAAGTCGGTGAGGATTTGTAGTATGCACGAGGCCTCTTTGGCAAGACTAGACTAATTGAAATAGATCGGTTGTGTCCCTTGAAACTATATTGCACTATCACAATCTCAGACGGTCGATCATGATTGTGCTTGTACGTTCTGTATACCTTCAACTCAACAGGTTCCAGATTCAGCTCTACAAGGATATTCCCTCGATCCGTACTTGAACGGAAATAAACAAATCGTATTGCGACACCCAACCTTGAGAGTGACAACTGTCACAAACATAATTCGTTGAAACTATCATCAACTTCAACAATAACCCATCACCAGACCCTGCCTGACATCTATGATAATGACGTCAACCACCCTCGAACTGTAGCGCGTAGTACAAACTAAACTTTGGGCTTGGTCCCTTGAATTTGTCGTACCAACGCTTAAAACTAACACAGGCTTGGCATAGTAAAATCTGTGCATCTCAAAGCTTGGCTGCCTGAATAACCTTCCTTGGCTTTGAGATATTCTCTCTTACAAAAAAGCATATGCTAAACTAGACCATGACGCAGTCTGCGGCATTGAATATTAATCAGAAATACCTATTACTCTTCATCATAAACAGTAGCGTTAACTGCCAACAGTACAGACATCCGTCAACATTCAGGGAATTACACGCCACCACCATCAATCAGATCGCCACGATATAGCACTGTACCCACAGATAACAAGCTTTTTCGTAACGGATGTCACCGAGTGCCGAAGAATTTCGTTCAGCAAGTTGCCACTGTATACTCTACCGTTAACGCCCCTTGTGTCATTCGACAAGTCGAACAGCAGAGGTACATCAGC